CGTGCCCCGGTCCGGGAAGATCCCACATGCCGCGGAGCGGCTGGTCCCGTGAGCCATGGCCGCTGAGCCTGCGAGACCGGAGCCTGTGCTCCGCAATGGGAGAGGCCACAACAGTGAGAGGCCTGCGTTCCGCAAAGAAGAAAAAAAAAAAAAAGATACATGCATCCCTTGGTTCATAGCAGCACTATTCACAATAGCCAAAACATGAAAACGACCTAAATGTCCAGCGACAGATGAATGGATAAAGAAGATGTGGTACATATATACAATGCAATACTACTCAGCCATGAAAAGAATGAAATAATGCAATTTGCAGCAACATGGATGCAACTAGAGATTATAATACTAAGTGAAGTCAGAAAGAGAAAGACAAATACTGTATGATATCACTTATATGTGGAATCTAAAATATGGCACAAATGAACCTAACTACAAAACAGAAACAGACTCACAGACTTGGAGATCAGACTTATGGTTGCCAAGGGGCAGAGGGAGAAGGAGAGGGATGGACTGGGAGTTTGGGTTTGATAGATGCAAACTATTACATTTAGAATGAATAAACAACAAGGTCCTACTGTATAGCATAAGGAAATTTATCCAATCTCCTGGGATAAACCAAAATGGGTTTAGCCTTGGATAAACCATAATGGAAAAGAATATTTTTAAAAAGTATATATATATATAACTGTCACTTTGCTATATAGCAGAGATTGGCACAACATTGTAAATCAACTGTACTTCAATAAAATAATAAAACAAATACACATAAATCCCTTCTCTCTATGTTAACAAATGGCATAAACTGAACACCTATAGAACCATCATCAAGTCTACAATACGTAAAATGACTAGCTCTAAGACACCTCACATATTCTTTCCTGGGCACAATTTTCTTCACACTGAGAGGTCATTTCTATCATAAATTCTACAAAAATCATTTCTTTGCTTTTCTTTATACTTTTACAACCTGTTCATGCAACCCTAAAAAAAAGTTTAATTTTACACAAATTGAATAATTGCTTCTTGTGTTCAAAATTGTTTGTGAGGTTCATTCATGTATTTGCTTGTAGCCATACTTGGAAAATTCCCTTTCTATATGACTTATCCTCCATGAATGTACCACAATTTATTTCTTCATTCATCTGTTAATGGATATTTGCTGGATTTCACTGTGGGGAAAAAAATTCTCACTTTCTTCCTGGAGCATAGAAACACATCTTTATCAAGAGTACGTAGCTAGGAGTAGAACAGCATGATGTGGGGTGTGAATATCTTTACTAGATAATGTCCATCAATTTCAAAAGTGACTGCACTTTTGTGAGGGCAAGGGGTATATGGGAAATACCTGTTCCTTCTGCTCAATTCTGCTTTGAACCTAAAATTGCTCTTAAAAAAAAAAAGGCTTAAAAAAAGTGATTGCACCAAATTTCAATTCCTCAACAATAGATGAGGTTCTTTGATGTTCCACATCCTCATTCCTGATACTGTCAGACTCGGAAATTCTGCCAATCTTATAAATAAATGTGTAGTGGTATCACGCTGTGGTTTCATTTGCATTTCTTCCACAAGAGATGAGGTTAAATATATTTTTCCCCGTCCAATTATTCCTCCTGGGAAGGAGGAATAATAATAATAATATTATTACTGGGGATAACAATAACTGGGGAAGTTTCTTATTAAATCTTATGCCCATTTTTCTGCTAGGTTGCCTGCTTTCTTCCTCAAAGATTTACATAATTCCTTATAATCTAAATATTAGTCTTGTCTTGGTTCCAGGCATCACAAAGATAAGATTCTGCCACAGTGTGGCTTCTCTTTTCATGTTTCTTATGATGTCAAGAAATTCTGAATTTTAATGGAGCTTATAAATCTTTCCTCATGTATTGAGGGTTTTTTTGGTTTAAAATTTTCCCTACACAGGGTAATAAAAATTTGTTCCCGTATCTCCTTCTAAAATATTTTGTTTTGCCTCATACAATTTAGACTTCGGTCTACCCAAAATTGACTTTTGTGGTAGGATATAAAGCTGGGACACCATGCCAGGTTGCATATAAAAGGCTTTTGCAGCTTTCTGCACTGTCGCCCTGTTTAAAAATCAATTGTCATTAAAGCGTGCAATTATTTCTGGGCTCTCGATTCTGTTTCAAAGGTCTATAATTACCCCCACACCAGTACCATTCTGTAACAGTTACAATAGATTTACAGTATATCTTTAATACCTGTTAGAAAAGATCCTATACTATCCTGCTCTTCAAACATGTTTAAACAGATTGGTAAGAATTAAGAATTTTAAAACATCCACTGAGGCACGCATTGTGTTCATGACAACCAACGATGTTGACAGGCTCGACCCTGCCCTGATACTCCCTGGGCGAGTAGACCTGAAGGAGTACATGGGCCACTGCTCATGCTGGCAGCAGACCCAGATGTCCCAGAGGTTCTATCCAGGGCAAGCAGCTTCTCTGGCTGAGACTTTTGCAGATCGTGTCCTTCAAGCTACAACTCAGATCAGTCCTGCCCAGGTGCAGGGCTACTTCATGCTGTATAAGAATGACCCTGCAGAGGCAATTCACAATGTGGAGTCTCTGAGGAGGTGACAACCGGGCTGTACCCAGCTCTCTCCTCCTCTAGGAGATCAATAAACACCTGCCAAGCTAAAAAAGAATTTTATAACAGTCTTCCAATCCATGAACATGATATATGGATTTATTTCAGTTTTATTTCATCTTGCTCAACATTTTTCAAAATTTCAATATTTGCACAGCTGAATTTCTAAGTATGTTTGCACTGTAACTTCTTATATGATGTTTCCTCTCCTTTTTCCAGCATAGACTAGCTAATATTATGAATTTTTAAAATCCTTTTTATTCCAAGGAACATGTTTTGGCTTTAATTTATACCATTATAATTTTCCAATTAATTCGTTTCTAATTTTTTTAAATAAATTACTTCTGTTTAAGCTTAGTCTACTCAAAATTCCTGTTCTTCAAATTTTCCACCAAGAAATGCTATACCCATAGCCCAAAAGTTCTGCACAGTAAAGGGTTAACTCAGCAGGTTTGGGGTATTCAAACCCTGCACATTCCAAAGAAATGACTGGCTTTTGACCAGATCCTGGGAGATAACTTATAAGCCCCTGGAATATCCCACCTGATAAGAATGTCTTTATATACCTCGGGACCTTGAGCCACACCAGATAGTTCAGGCTAATAATGTTACTTATGGTTGGGGCCTTAGGCCATGTTGTTATTAGTCTGATCTTTGGAAGGGCTGGAGCCTGAGTAATTAAGGTCAGTCACACAGATGCTCCAAGCAACCCCAATAAAAACCTTGGACACCAAAGCCTGGGTAAATTTCCCTGGCTGGCAATACTTGATGTATGTTGTCAAACATTGTTGCTGGCAGAATTAAGCACTGCTCATACAACTACAACAGGAGAAGAAAATGGGAAGTTTGCATCCAGTCTCTCTTGGAATATGCCCTATGTGCCTTTTGTCTTTGCTGATCTTTTATCTGTAACCTTTTGCTGTAATAAACTGTAAGTTTGAATATTAAAGCTTTTCTGAGTTCCTGAAGACCTCTGGATACAGATTCACAAACACATTTTATATTTTTATAAATTTGATTTTGATATATCCCTTGATCAAATAGATTTTTCAAAAATATATATGTATTTTTTATTGAAGTTTTCTTTTAACCCCAAATGTATTTATGTTTAGTTGCTCCATTGACACTTCAAAGAAAGTTTACACTATATTTTCAGAGTACAGAGTTTGAAAGACACATATAAATATGTATCACACTCATGTCATAACATATGCTATTTATATCTTCTAGAACAGGGGTCAACAAACTTTTTCTTTAAAAGGCCTGATGGTAAATACTTTAGTTCTTGCAGGCCATATGATCTCAGACAACTAGTCATCCAGCTTGTTGTATCAAAAAAGCAGCCATAATCAATACACAAGCAAATGACTAAGTTCCAAAAACTGTATTTACAAAAAACAGGCAGCTACCTGGATTTAGCACAAGGAACATAATTTACCAACTCATGTTCTGGAATCCCAGTTGTTATTCACTGTATCTAGCATGATATCAGAGTGGTATAAGTGGGTGTATGATAGCTATGTGTTCCTATTTCTCCTCATATATCTTGAAGTTTTTTTTTCTTTAATGAATCAATGATAATTTAATTGGCACACAGGAACCAGCGGGCTTTGCATCTCCTTTTAAAATTATCTTCTTTAGCTTTATTAAGGTGTTCTTTTTATTACTGCATGAATTTTGATGTGAATCAAAACCTTGTCCAATAGTATATTAATTAAGCCTGAATTATTTTCTGTATATTGCCTTAGTATTAAGTGTCTCATATTTTAAACTTTCCAAATTATTTTAGGTATATATCCTTGATACATTCTCATGCCATTTTCTCTTAAGAGGGGGCTTTAACCAATTTACATTGATATGACATATACATCCATCATATTTTATGTTACGCTGTTTACATATGTTAATGTTTACACAGGTTTTTTAATAAAAAAAATCTTTTCAGTGATAGGTCTGTTTTCTTTGTACTACTAACTGTGTCTTCCTTCTAATAATGAGAAAGTTTATATTTTACAATGATAGTAGTTACATTTGTAATGGTTACATTTATAATTAATAACTCTTACATAATTATTATTAATTAGACAGTATCTAGTAATTTCCCACGACACAACTACTGATCCACTCTCTCTTTTGCCATCATTTAACCTTCCATTTTAGTTGCTTTCACAATCTTCCTTAGCATTTAACTTTGTAATCATTAAATAGAAATTGATGACTTGATTTCAGGTATGTGATATACTATGTTGCTGCATTTGAAAGAAGAAAAAATAAAAATGATTAAATTGTATCCCTTACATTACATTTTCCACACCCACATTTTATTGGATCTATTCATTTTGAAACTTCCAAAGGTACCCATCTTTAACAGATACATTTGGGGTTAAGTTTTCCGGGAATACCTTCTGCCAGCACTCTGAAACTCTCCTGGATAACTCCTCTTCAGAAGTTTGTCTCATAACCATGGATCTTCTCCTTGTTCCAACTTGAAGATAACCTCTGGCTTTATAAAGCAATACCCTGTAAATGGGAAATAATTTAGGACATGGGTTCACATGGGCTTTGATGATTCTATGTAAAGGAAGGTGCAGCTTCACAAGTGGCATAGTAACAATACTCACTTGACTTTTTTGGGAGAGGTCCAAACAAAAATATTTTCAGATACTGAAAGAGATCAATCTTCTTAAATTCCTAAATCACAAGCATAAATAACATTAAATTCCAATAAAACTTATCAAGTTTCAAAAACCCAAATAGGGTTTTTTATTATGGATGTAAAGGAGTAATGGAACCAATTTATCCTCCCACATCAAACAATTCATAAACAATACAAAAATATATGAAACTTTGGCTTTTAGACATGATCCAACAGGCAGTGCAGATTAGGAATTCATGAGAAAAGGGAAACGAGGTGAGTGCTATGACTACCACATGTTATACTCTAATGAGTTTCAACACAGAATACAAAAGAGCTACACTGAGAGAGAGCTATGAAGATCTACAATAGGGTCTCCTTCAGTCTTTGATTGAGTACTATGTGAAAACATGTGAGGAAACTACCTGAGGCTGGGGAAAGCACTGCCAGAAGAAAAGTAGAATAAAAAATCACCAAAGCACATACAGAGTGGGAAGTTTGTGTTTCCAAAGTGGATTTCTCATTAGAAACCACATAGGCCAAAGGTCGTGTGGTGATATACTCAAACTACTCAAAGAAAATGACTATCAACCAAGAACCCTATAGGCAGAAAAATTATTTTTCAAAGATGAAGGCCAAATAAAAATATTCCCAGATAAATAAAAGTTGAGAGTTTGTTGCTAGCGGACCCACCTTACAAGACACACTAAAGAAAATTCTCTTGACTGATTTAAAAAGTAACTGTATAAAACAGTATGTACATATAGTAATGTTAGGTGTCTAACATACACAAAAGTATTCAATAAAACCACAAAGAGGTAGGTAGGAGAAAGATATATTAGACTAAGGAAATAACACCTGATGGCAACTCAAATCCACAGAAACAAGAGAAGAAAAACAAAAATAGTAAATAAAAAGGTTAATAAAATAAATGTGATACATACATACATGTCCTTTTTTCTTATGACAGCTTCTTTAAAAGATATAAAATTATACAAAGTAATAATCATTAGAATGTATTGTTGAGTTTACTAACATATATAGAGATATGTAATATGTACAATAATATCACAAAGCAGGGGGAGGAATAAAGTTACATAGGAGTAACTTTTCTGTGTATCACTGAAATTAGATTAATATAAACTTGAAGTAGATTCTGATAAGTTCAGGTGTATATGGTAAGGGCTAGAGCAACAACTAAAGAAATAAACTCTAAAAAATACAGTGAAAAAATCATTAAAGGAATTTAGTGTTACATGAAAAAATATTCATATACTACAAAACAATAAAAGAGGAATAGAGGAGGAAAAAAAACATGAGACATAGAAAACAAAATGTAAATGGCAAACAAAAATCCAACTATCTCAATAAAAACACTAAATGTGAAAGAACTAAACAATTCAGACAAAAGGTAAAGATTGTCAGACTAGATTAAAAAAAACAAAACAAAACCAAGATGAATTGTATCCAGCTTGAGCTGTCTAAGGACACATTACTTTCAAAGATATAAAAATGTTCAAAGTAAGGAGGTGGAAAAAGATATTTTATACAAACAGCAACCATAAGAAAGTTATACTAATATCAAACAAAATAGACTTTAAATTTTAAAATGTTATTAGATATAAAGAGATATTTTACAATGACAAAAGGGTAAATCCATCAGAAAGATACTATAACAACTATAAACATACACACACCTAACAACTGAGCCCCAAGATACAAGAAGCTAAGTGAAAGGAGAAACTGACAAACAATAATAGTTGGAAACTTAACTATCACACTTTTAATAATGGATAGAATACTAGATTGAAGATTAATAAGGAAATACAGGCATACCCTGTTTTATTACACTTTGCTTTACTGTGCTTCACAGATACATAGTTTTTGCATTGCCTGAAGTATTTGCCTACAAATTGAAGGTCTGTGGAAACCCTTAGTTGAGCAAGTCTATCAGTGCCATTTTTCCAACAACATTTCCTTGCTTCATGCCTTTGTGTCACATTTTGGTAATTCTTGCAATATTTCAAATTTTTCATTATTATTATATTTGTTATGATTACCTGTGATCAGTGATCTTTGATGTTACTATTATAACTGTTTTGGGACACCACAACCTCACTCATATAAAACAATGAACTTAATTGATAAATGTTGTGCATGTTTTGACTGCTCCATTGACCAGCAATTCCTGTCTCTCTCCCTTCTCCTCAGGCCTCCATATTCACTGAGACACAAGAATATTGAAATTAGGCCAATTAATAAACCCACAGTGGCCTCTAAGTGTTCAGTAAAAGGAAGAACCATGGGTCTCTCATATTAAATCAACAGCTAGAAATGATTCAGCTTAGTGAGGAAGGTGTGTTGAAAGCTGAGAGAGACTAAAACCCAGGCCTCTTGTGCAAACAGCCAAGGTGTGAATGCAAGGAAAAGTTCTTGAAGGGAATTAAAAGTGCTACTCTAGTGAACACAAGAATGATAAGAAAGAGAAACAGCCCTAATATTTGTATGTGATGTGGTGTTTAGGTCAACATTCTGTGATTTTTTTTTTTTTTTTGCCTATAGATATCTAATTATTCAGCACCATTTGTTGAAAAGACTGTCGTTTCATTGAATTGCTTGTACACCTTTGTCAAAAATCAATTGGCTGGAGAAGACCTTCAAGATGGCAGAGGAGTAAAATGTGGAGATCACCTTCCTCCCCACTTATACATCAAAAATACATCTAAATGTGGAACAACTCCTACAGAACACCTACTGAACACTGGCAGAAGACTCAGACTTCCCAAACGACTCCAGAGGGTGACCACCATGAAGGGGCATGGCCAAATCCAAAGCTGAACCCCAGGAGCTGTGAGAACAAAGAAGAGAAAGGGAAATTTCTTTGTGAAGCCTCAGGAGCAGCAGATTAAACCTTCACAGTCAACTTGATGTACCCTGCATCTGTGGAATACCTGAATAGACAACAAATCATCCCAAAATTGAGGCAGTGAACTGTGGGACAACTGTAGACTTGGGGTTTGCTGTATGCGACTGACTAGTTTCTGATTTTTATGTTTATTTTAGTTTTCAGCACTTGTTATATTTGGTGGATATGTTTATTGGTTTGGTTGTTCTCTTCTTTTTTATTGCCTTTTTTATTTTTCTATTCCAATATTTTTTATTTTAATAACTTTATTTTATGTCTTTCTTTCTTTCTTTCTTTCTTTCTTCCCTCCCTCCCTCCCTCCCTCCCTCTCTCTCTCTCTCTTTCTTTCTTTCTTTCTTTCTCCCTTTTCTTCTGAGCCGTGTCACTGATAGGATCTTGGTGCTCTGGCTGGGTGTCAGGCCAGAACCTATGAGGTGGGAGAGCCAAGTTGAGGACATTGGACCACTAGAGACATCCTGGCCCCACGTAATATCAATCGGCGAGAGCTCTCCCAGAGATCTCTGTCTCAATGCTAAGATCCAGCTCCACCCAACTACAAGCAAGTTCCACTGCTGGACACTCCATGCCAAACAACTAGCAAGGCAGGAACACAACCCCACCCATTAGCAGAGAGGCTGCCTAAAATCATAACAATTTCACAGGCACCCCAAAACACACCACCAGATGCAGTCCTGCCCACCAGAAAGACAAGATCCAGCTTCATCCACCAGAAAACAGGCACCAGTCCCCTCCACAAGGAAGCCTACACAATCCACAGAACCAACCTTACCCACTGAGAGCACACACCAAAAACAATGGGAACTATGAACCTACAGCCTGCAAAATGGAGACCCCAACAACAGTAAGTCAAGCAAAATGAGAAGACAGAGAAATACACAGCAGATGAAGAACAAGGTAAAAACCCACCAGACCAAACAAATGAAGAGGAAATAGGCAGTGTACCTGAAAAACAATTCAGAGTAATGATAGTAAAGATGATTCAAAATCTTGGAAATAGAATTGAGAAAATACAAGAAACGTTTAACAAGGACCTAGAAGAACTAAAGATAAAACAAACAATGATAAACAACACAATAAATGAAATTTAAAATTCTCTAGAAGGGATCAATAGCAGAATAGCTGAAGCAGAAGAATGGATAAGTGACCTGGAAGATAAAATAGTGGAACTAACTGCTGCAGAGCAGAATTAAGAAAAAAGAATGAAAAGAATTGAGGACAGTCTCAGAGACCACTGGGACAATATTAAATGCACCAATATTCGAATTATAGGGGTCCCAAAAGAAGGAGAGAAAAAGAAAGGGACTGAGAAAATATTTGAAGAGATTATAGTTGAAAACTTCCCTAATATGGGAAAGGAAATAGTCAATCAAGTCCAGGAAGCACAGAGAGTCCCATACAGGATAAACCCAAGGAGAAACATGCCAAGACACGTAGTAATCAAACTGTTAAAAATTAAATACAAAGAAAAAGTATTAAAAGCAGCAAGGGAAAAACAACAAATAACATACAAGGGAATCCCCATAAGATTAACAGCTGATCTTTCAGCAGAAACTCTGCAAGCCAGAAGGGAGTGGCAGGACATATTTAAACGGATGAAATGGGAAAACCTACAACCAAGATTACTCTACCCAGGAAGGATCTCATTCAGATTCGACAGAGAAATAAAAACCTTTACAGACAAGGAAAAGTTAAGAGAAATCAGCACCACCAAACCAGCTTCAACAAATGCTAAAGGAAATTCTCTAGGCAGGAAACACAAGAGAAGAAAAAGACCTGCAAAAACAAAAACAAAACAATGAAGAAAATGGTAAGAGGAACATACATATCGATAATTAACTTAAATGTAAATGGATAAAATGCTCAACCAAAAGACATAGACTGGCTGGATGGATATAAAAACAAGACCCATATATATGCTATCTACAAGAGAGCCATTTTAGACCTAGGGACACATATGGAGTGTAAGTGAAGGGATGGAAAAAGATATTCTACGCAAATTGAAATCAAAAGAAAGCTGGAGTAGCAATTCTCATATCAGACAAAATAGACTTTAAAATACAGACTATTACAAGAGACAAAGAAGGACACTACATAATGATCAAGGGATGAATCCAAAAAGAAGATATAACAATTGTAAATATTTATCCACCCTACATAGGAGCACCTCAAGACATAAGGCAAATGTTAACAGCCATAAAAGTGGAAATCAACAGTAACAAAATAGTAGGGGACTTTAAGACTACACCTTCAAGAATGGACAGATCATCCAAAATGAAAATAAATAAGGAAACACAAGCTTTAAATGACACATTAAACAAGATGGACTTAAGTGATATTTATAGAACATTCTATCCAAAAACAACAGAATGCACTTTCTTCTCAAGTGCTCATGGAATAATCTCCAGGATAGATCATATCTTGGGTCAGAAATCAAGCCTTGGTAAATTTAAGAAAGTTGAAATCGCATCAAGTATGTATTCCGACCACAACGCTATCATTTGTGACTAGATATCAATTACAGGGGAAAAAAACTGTAAAGAAAATTACAAACACATGGAAGCTAAACAATACGCTACTAAATAACCAATAGATCACTGAGGAAATCAAAGAGGAAATCAAAAGATACCTAGAAACAAATGACAATGAAAACACAGTGACCCAAAACCTGTGGGATGCAGCAAAAGCAGTTCTGAGAGGGAAGATTATAGCAATACAATCTTACCTCAAGAAACAAGAAACATCTCAAATAAACAACCTAACCTTACAGTTAAAGCAATTAGAGAACAAAAAAACCCCAAAGTGAGCAGAATGAAAGAAATCATAAAGATCAGATTAGAAGTAAATGAAAAAGAAATGAAGGAATCGAAAGAAAAGATCAATAAAACTAAATGCTGGTTCTTTGGGAAGATAAACAAAATTGATAAGCATTAGCCAGATTCATCAAGAAAAAAGGGAGAAGACCCAAATCAATAGAATTAGAAATGAAAAAGAAGGAAAAACTGACACTGCAGAAATACAAAGGATCATGAGAGATTACTACAAGCAACTATATGCCAATAAAATGCACAACCTGCAAGAAATGGACCAATCCTTAGAAAAGTACAACCTTCTGATACTGAACCAGGAAGAAATAGAAAATATAAACAGACAAGTCACAAGCACTGAAATTGAAACTGTGATTAAAAATCTTCCAACAAACAAAAGCCCAGGACCAGATGGCTTCACAGGCAAATTCTATCAATCATTTAGAGAAGAGCTAACACCTATCCTTCTCAAACTCTTCCAAAATATAGCAGAGGGAGGAATACTCTCAAACTCATTCTACAAGGCCACCATCACCCTGATACCAACCAAAACCAGACAAAGATGTCACAAAGAAAGAAGACTACAGGCCAATATCACTGATGAACACAGATGCAAAAATCCTCAACAAAATACTAGCAAACAGAATCCAGCAGCACATTAAAAGGATGATCAAGTGGGGTTTATCCCAGGAATGCAAGGATTCTTCAATATATGCAAGTCAATCAATGTGATAAACCATATTAACAAACTGAAGGATAAAACCATATGATAATCTGAATAGATGCAGAAAAAGCTTTGGACAAAATTCAACATCCATTTATGATAAAAACTCTTCAGAAAGTAGGCATAGAGAGAACTTACCTCAACATAATAAAGGCCATATATGACAAACCCACAGCCAGCATCATTCTCAATTGTGAGAAACAATTTCCACTAAAATCAGGAACAAGAGAAGTTTGCCCACTCTTACCACTATTATTCAACATAGTTTTGGAAGTTTTAGCCACAGTAATCAGAGAATAAAAAGAATTAAATGGAATCCAGATCAGAAAAGAAGTAAAACTGTAAGCCTTTGCAGATGACATGATACTACATAGTTCCTTGTTAAACTTTTCTTGTATTTTCTCTATCCTATTTCTAAGATTTTGGATCATCTTTACTATCATTATTCTGAATTCTTCTTCAGGTAGACTGCCTATTTCATCTTCATTTGTTAGGTCTGGTGGGTTTTTACCTTGCTCCTTCATCTGCTCTGTGTTTTTCTGTCTTCTCATTTTGTTTAACTTACTGTGTTTGGGGTGTCCTTATCTCAGGCTGGATGTTTGTAGTTCCCATTGTTTTTGGTGTCTGTTCCCAGTGGCTAAGGTTGGTTCAGTGGGTTGTGTATGCTTCCTGGTGGAGGGGAATAGTGCCTGTTTTCTGGTGGATGAAGCTGGATCTTGTCTTTCTGGTGGGCAGTTCCACGTCTGGTGGTGTGTTTTGGGGGGGGTCTGTGGCCTTATTATGATTTTAGGCAGCCTCTCTGCTAGTGGATGGGGCTGTGTTCCTCTCTTGCTAGTTGTTTGGCATAGGGAATCCAGCACTGTAGCTTGCTGGTCGTTGAGTGAAGCTGGGTCTTGGTGTGGAGATGGAGATCTCTGGAAGATTTTCACCATTTGATATCATGTGGAGCTGGGAGGTCTCTTGTGGACCAGTTTCCTGAAGTTGGCTCTCCCACCTCAGAGGCACAGCCCTGACGCCTGGCTGGAGCACCAAGAGCCTTTCATCCACATGGCACTGTAGATCCTGGTTTCCTCAGCCAGGAAAGGACACAGCATCACAGCAGGAATTAGCACCTGGGTGAAGAAAGCAGTGTATGAGGGTGGTCAACACTCCGTGAAAGTCATGGCATCATTACCTTTGAGCAGTGAAAGTACTCCACTGCTTAATCTCCTTGAGTCTCAATATTCTCACCTCCCAGGCAAATGAAGAGATGCCGTAGAATAATGAAGTTTATACTGAAGATAAATTCTTCTTACTCCTGCTGGGCCAGTCACCTGAAACTGCTTATAGCATAATCATTGGTCAGTCAAATCCACAGGGCAATTCTCCTCAAGCAGCAATCAGGGGTCCATGGAAGCTGCTAGTGTTGGAGGGTCTCCTGCAGAGGTGGGGGTGGGTGTGGCTCACTGTTAGTACAAGGACACTGGCAGCAGTTCTGGGAAGTACGCCCTGTGTGAGCCTTCCCAGTGTCCTCCTGTCCATTTTTAAATTGAGTTGTTTTGTTACTGTTTAAAAAATTCTTTGTATAATTGGGATACAAGTCCTCTGTCAGATATATAGTTTGCAACTTTTTTCCTGTCTGTAGCTTGTATTTATTTTTATCTTATTTATTTATTTATTTTGTCTGTGCCAGGTCTTAGCTGCAGCACGTGGGATCTTTGTTGCAGCATGTGGACTCCTTAGCTGTGGCATGTGGACTGCTTAGCTGTGGCATGCGGACTTCTTAGTTGCAGCATGCAGACTTCTTAGTTGCGGCATGCGCGTGGGATTGTTTCCTGACCAGGGATTGAACCCGGGCCCCCTGCCTTGGGAGCATGGAGTCTTACCCACTGGACCACCATGGAAGTTCCTATTTCCATCTTCTTGCTATTGTGTTTCTCAGAGTGTTTTATTTTGATGTTCAATTTATCAGTTTTCTTCTATTTATTATGAGTATCCTGTCAAGACTAAGTTCTTTAAGAATATTTTCCCTTTTTCTTCTAAAATTTTATAGTTTTACATTTTATATTGAAATCTCTGATCCATTTTGAATTAAATTTTGCATAGGGTTTTAGGTTTAGATACGTGTGTGTGTGTGTGTGTAGCAGATAGATATACAATTTCTTTTTTGTATTGATCTTATAACCTGCAAACTTGAATTAATTAATTCTAGGAAGTTTTTATTTTTTTCTGGATTCTTTGGGATTTTTGTACATACATAGACAATTATGTCATATGTAAATAGGTATATATTTATGTTTTTCTTTTATAATCTATATGCCTTTTTTTTTTTTTTTTGCCTTATTGTGCTGGGTAGACTTCCAGTACTATGTTGAATAAGAGTGATGAAGGTGGGCATCTTTGCCTTAGTCCTAATTTTGAGGACGATATTCAGTCTTCCATTATTAAGTACAATGTTGGCTGTGTTTTCAATTAATTATCAAGTTGGTGACATTCTCTATTCCTAATTTGCTGACTTTAAAGAAAAAACCATAAAATAGAATTGATTTTGTCAAATGCTTTTCTGCATTAATATGATCATGTCATTTTTCTTCTTAGTTTAATATGTTGGATTACATTAATTTATTTTCAAATGTTGAATGAGCCTGGCATTCCTGGAATAAATTCCACTTTGTTGTGATGTTAGTTTTTATATATTGCTGGATTTGATTTGCTAATAGGCTTTTGAGGATTTTTTAATGGAAATTCATGAGAGATATAACTATTTAGTTTTCTTTTTGTCTTTGTCATGTTTTTGTGTACAGCCCTCATAAAATGAGTTGTAAAGTATTCCCTCCTTTTCTGGAGGAAGTTGGGTAGAACTGGTGTTAATTCTTTAAATGTAGAATTCTTCATTGCAATCAACTGAGCCTGAACATTTCTTTTCGGAAATGCTTTTTGCTATGAATTCTATGTATTTAATAGTTATAGAAAAATTTAGATTTTCTGTTTTATCTTGAGTTTTCATAATTTGTGGCTTTGTGATATTGACGTCCATATTGGTTGGTTTCACATAAAGTGTCAAAGTGACACACACAGAGTTTGTGTAGTGTTCCTTGATTATCCTTTTAGTATTTGTGTAGTGATATATTTTTCATTCCTGAATTAATTTTATCATTTTTTTTTCAGTCATAGTAGAGTTTTATCAGTTTTATTTCTATCTTCAAAGGATTAAGTTCAGGTTTCTTAGATTTTCTCTTCTCAACATGATTGAATCTTGCTCTTACATTATTTCTTTGCTTCTGCTTGCTTTGGGTTTTTTTACTCTGCTCTTTTTGTTTCTTGAAATGAGAGATGAGACTTGATTTGAGACCTTTTTTTCTAATGTAAGTTTTTGGTGGTATGAATTTCTTGCTCAGCACTGCTTTAGCTCCAGTGCACCAATTTTTTTTTTTTTTTTGCGGTACGCAGGCCTCTCACTGTTGTGGCCTCTCCCGTTGTGGAGCACAGGCTCCAGACGCGCAGGCTCAGTGGCCATGGCTCACGGGCCCAGCTGCTCTGCAGCATGTGGGGTCTTCCAGACCAGGGCACGAACCTGTGTCCCCTGCATCGGCAGGCGGACTCTCAACCACTGCCAGTGCACCAATTTTGACAAGATTTTTCCTTTTTGTTCAATTCAAATTATTTTCTCATTCCCTTTGTAACTTCCTCTGTCCCATGAAACATTTAAAAGTGTGTTAATTTGCAAGTGTTTGAAGATTTTCTTTTATTTTGTAAAATTTTTATTGGAGTTGATTTACAATGTCATGTTATTTTCTGGTGTACAGCAGTGAATCAGTTATATATATATACATATAGGCACTCTTTTTTAGATTCTTTTTCCATATAGTTCATTAGAGTATAGAGTTCTGTGTGTTATACACTAGGTCCTTATTAGTTATCTATTTTACATATAGTAGTGCATGTATGTCAATCCCAATCTTCCGATTGATCCCTCCCCCACTCTTTCCCCACTGGTAACCATAAGTTTGTTTTCTACATCTGTGACTCTGTTTTGTAAATATGTTCATTTCCATTTTTTTAGATTCCACATATAAGCAATATCATATATTTGTCTTTCTCTTACTTCACTCGTATGACAATCTCTAGGTCCATCCACGTTGCTGCAAATGGCTTTATTTTGTTCTTTTTTATGGCTGAGTAATATTCCAAGTAGTTTCTCAGTTTATTGTGTATCAAGCTAGTTAGCTGATAATTAAGCTAATTATGCTTTTGTCAGTTGGCAGTCAGTTCCTTAGAAAACTGGAAGATCACTAAAATAGCCAGTTGATCAGGCAGGTTAATGGTACTTGGAGACTGCAGTCTCCACAAAACAAATTTGTTTCACGCCCATTATAGTGTGAAGCTGCCTTGGTAGAAGGACAGAATATACTATTTCTGCTAGGCTTCTAGGGAGACCTTTAATGTGACAGAAGAGGTAGTATATACCTGGCAAGGAAAAACAAAAAGTGGAGGTAGGTCAGAGCAGATGTTATACCTGTTCTTTTGAGGTCAGACATGTCTCCTAGGAGATAGATTCTTGGACCTGAGAAAATAAAAAACTTTTCCTTGTAACTGTCAGGAAGTTGATTGGGAAGTAAAAATGAGCAGAACTAATGATATGATGAATACATGACCCCAAGAACTAATTATTTTGCCTTCCCATTTGATTGATCCTGAAAATCTAATTTATCATTGTTATTGTTATGCACAATTTTTTTGATTGGTACTTAGCTATAGCTATGTACCCATACATAGCTATGCAGACATAATTTTGAACTGGGAATACTAGTTTATTGAAAATAAATTTTGTTTTGGCTGAAAGAGATCTGAATACTTCTGAATATTGAGTTTTCTCTTAGCAATTTTAGAAAATATCCAAAAGAGGAGTCTGAGTGGGAGCTTAGAGCAATAATTTCCTTAACTATTTATAATAATAATGAATAATCTCAAAATATAATTTGAAGAATCAAAAGGAAAAAATTTCAGATATCACTTTTATAATTCTATGTTCAACAAGTATTTTTTAGTGCCCAATACGTAGAGAGACTCTTCATAATTTTTTAATGCCCAATACATAGAGGGACATGTTATGAACAAAACAGATAAAAATTCCTGCCTTCATGGAGGCTTCTTTTATTAGCTCGAAGACCCTTAGTAGGCAGGCAGACAGAAAATTGACTCTGCCAGTGTCTCTAGATAAGGCGCCCATCTGTTGGAATAAAAGTTAATACTTGGAAAGGAGATGAACCAGGCAGGGAGAATGGAGCGTTTGTGACTACAGCATAGACCATGGTCTCCAGTTGATAATGTATTATCTGGAGAGGCTTCCCCACCAAGGAGACAGCAGATATAGCATGAGTGCCATCAGGGGACTTTGTCACCTGGCCTCCCATTCAGGCCACTTGGGTGAATTGGTTCCATCTTGGAGGGTAGATGGTCCTGAACTTAATAGCAAATCCAATCATAATCCTAAAAGATGATATATGAAAGGGGGTGTAAAGGAGATGATTCTACATATCTTAAGAAAACAGAGGAATTTTATGAAAGAATGACTTTATATTACCAACAATTATAAAGACGGAGTAAACAGTAATCTCTTGATTTTCAGGGAATATAGTACTAACTGGACATTATTTTCTCTTATCCCAGTTGAATCTTCTTCACAATGCTGCTGGCAGCTCTGGAGTAACAATGTAACTGGTCTGTGATGTTTCATTTCCAAAGTCCTAGGAGGTATTCTCCTTTTCTAAACTTGATTCAAATACCCTTCAGTGAAACATTCAGTATCAGGCCAGAAAGACAGGGTATTTTGGCTCATATGAGGTATGTGCCATCCCTGTTCATAAAAGAAGAATCTGTTACTAATATGGTCATGAGTAGTCAGTTATATGCAGTATGTTTACAAATGACAAGTTAGTATATGAAGATATTTAAAATCAGTAGGAAAGGGATGAATTAATCAAATGGCATATGGAGCACTAGCTACTAATCCAGAAGAAAAAAACTACATTCTTGTATCAAATAACATCAAAGGAAACACTGGATATATACACAGACCTTTACTTTGTATCCAGGGTAAGATGGTAAATGTTTTGCCATCAGTATGATATGGATTCAGGTAGCAATCCTGAATCAGGGTAGTGGGGGCTTGATCAGCAACTTGATTCCAGTCAGTTTTATCAGAGAATAGTCTCTTACCATGTGAATCTAGTTGAACAACTCAGACGTTGTGCTCAGCAGCTGTGATTTCCCCCCCACAGTTCACAGTGCCAAACAGGGGTCCTTTCATAAGCCTATAGTTTTACAACAGGCATGTCAGATAGCTAGGTACAGTAAGAACCCAAGAGTCAATGAAAATGCACCAAGTTTCATCAGAGGGAATACTGGCTAGAGTTGAGAACATCTTTGTGTTCTGCCCAGTGACAGGAGCAGCCACATTAGTTTTGTGGTCTGCATAATAGCACTGAGGTTGAACAGTCACAGTGTCCAAGAGGTTTCAACTAGCAAAACCATCAGCGAAACAGGCCCAATTAGAGTACTTATGAGTTGAGGGTCCTACTGAGCCAGCAGCTTTGCTTAAGGCAGCAAAGTGGGGGATACATTTCCTCTCTAAGGGATAGTTGCTACTATTCCATGTATGACTGAGATACTGCTGGGACCAGGGAAGTCAGAACTAGGTGTGGCATACAACATGAGCATTCTCAGTCTACTAGACAGTCACAAAGCCCCAGTTAGATGAAAGGGAGATAGGGAAATTTAGTTTAGCTATGAAATTCTTACTAATGAGATTACCAGCGCATGTGATATGAGTTATCTAACAAGGCATGACTCCATCCAACAGGGTTTCCAGAGCACCCTGAAAGAAATCCTGTGTGAATTCTCTGATACACTCTCGGAGTTGCCTTTTGGGCAAAATTCTTCCTATATTCAGACTTATATGGTTTTTCTCCTTTGTGAATTTTCTGATGTCAAATAGGTTGGTCTCTTAGTCAGAAGAATTTTCCACAGTTATTGTATCAATTTGGTTTTCGCCCTCCCTGAATTCTCTGGTATACACTTAGGGTTGACTTCTTAGGCAATATTCCATATTCATTACATTCATAAGATTTCTCCCCACTGTGAGCTCTCTGATGTATTCTAAGGTTTGATTTCTGACCAAAAGTTTTCCCACATTTATTACACTGAAAGGGTTTCTCCCCTGTATGAATTCTCTGATGATCACTAAGGATTGCCTTCCGGACAAATTTTTTCCCACATTCATTACATTTAAATGGTTTCTCCCCAGTGTGAATTCTCTGATGAACTCTGAGGGTTGATGTCCGGGCGAAAGTTTTCCCACACTCATTACATTTAAATGGTTTCTCTCCTGTGTGTGTTTTCTGATGCTGAATGAGATGGTCTTTTCGCCAGAAGGATTTTTCACATTCTTTACAGTGATAAGTTTTCTCACCACTGTGAATTCTCTGATGTATTCTGAGGTTTGACTTCTGGCCAAAAGTTTTCCCACATTCATTACACTGAAAGGATTTCTCCCCTGTGTGAATTCTGTGATGATCTTTGAGGGTTGACTTTTGAACAAAAGTTTTCCCACAATCACAACATTCATAGGGTTTCTCTCCTGTGTGAATTCTCTGATGTCCCCTGAGGGTTGACTTCTGGACAAATGTTTTCCCACAGTCATTACATTTATAGGGTTTCTCTGCTGTGTGAATTCTCTGATGTGTACTGAGGTGTGACTTCTGGGAGAAAGTTTTTCCACATTCGTTACATTCAAATGGTTTCTCTCCTGTGTGAGTTCTCTGATGTTGAATGAGATGTCCTTTTTGACAGAAGGATTTCCCACATTCATTACATTTATAGGGTTTTACTTCATAGTGAGTTCTCTGGCATACTTTGTGGGCTTTCTGGTAAGACTTCCTATTTTCATGACATTCAAAGTGTTTATCTCCAGTTTGTGTTCTGTCATTACATACCAATGGATTCTCTTCTGTGAGAGTTCTCTGAGGTTGAGTAAGGTATGACTTCCTGCTGAAATTATTCCCACTTGTAACACATTCACAATGTTTCACAGTCATGTTAAATTTATTGTATTCCTTGATAGCTGACTTCTCACAGAAGGATTTCCCACACTGGTTAAGATAAGAGTGTTTCTCCCCTGTCCCAGTTCTTTCGTGGTCAAAGAGAGTTATCTTGTCATAGTTTTTCCTAAACTCTTCATCTTTACAGGATTGTTGTCCTGTATGAGTACTCTTATGTTTAACACAGGCAGCCTCAACATATAAGGCTTTTCCAATCCCATTAAATTCAAAAGCTTGCTTTAATGTTTGACACTTCTGATGTTCAGGAAGATTTTCCTTATAACTGAGGGTTTCCTGATTTTTATTATATTCATAAAATTTCTCTCCAGTATGAGTTCTTTCAAGCTTAATTTTGAAAGGCAAATTTTCACATACATTATAACAATCTGTTTTTTTTGTTAAGTAGGTTCTACTATTAATGATAAACTGAGAAACACTTTGCGAATTCACTCCACATGAGTCACATTTACAGGACATTTTTGATGAAGAAACAGGAACTATGTGCAGATTAAATGGTTTTCTCAAAACTTCTTCTTCCTCTCTAGGCAACTGTTTATTATTTATAGATGTTACTTGCTGCAGGTGTTTCTCTTTGATATTTTTGTTCCTCTTGATTAGATTTTCATCTCTGTAGTCTTCTAAAACAGAAAAATTGAAAACACTTTGAATCTTACTATTCTTATGGATGGGGCTTATAAACATATAGCCTTTGTTGCATTTCATTTTTTGGTTTCTCAAGATTAATTTGTGGGTTTGTGTGTATGAGAGAGAGACACCCTCCTTTAAAAAATAACATTGACACAGTGAAAATTAGAGAGGAAACTGGTTATAAATACATTATCTGTAGTTGGATTGTGATAAATTGGATTTTCCTACCTGGGTGGAGAAGGGAGAGAAATTAGACTTTTATGGGAATGATTTTAGGGAGCAGGAAAACCAGATAATTAATACAACGTGAGGGGTTATAAACTTAAGTAGAGTAACAAGAAAATTAGGAGATAATAAGCATTGATAGGCTAGGCCCAACAGGAGAATGGTTTGGTTTGAGGAAGTAAATTACAGTAGGGGTCCAACATTATCTAGGCTCTACTGGTAGAATCCTCAAGAGTCTTCATACTTCAATTTGATATCATTCCTTATTTCCATTCAGTCTTTCAAAATCAAATTAAATTGATAGCACCAACCTCCTCATGATTAAATGAAGAAGTTTATAGCTCAGGATAAAATCCATCTTGCAGCTGTGAGTCATAGAAATACAAACAAGTATAAGACTGATAAAAGGAAAATCAATTCTTGTAATTAAATTAGATTCACTGCTCAATTCTGGCTGTGATACCTTTGACTTATATCATCTAACAAAAGTGCAGATAAGTGAACCTGATCACTTCATTCTAAATTTCCACATTTCAGTTTGATATGAGGGGTGCAATTTTAAATGAGGTATCATGGAAGACCTTACTGCAAAGATCCAAATTCCTTATGCATTCTAGATGCCCATCCTTTCTGGCTTATATGAACTGTGAATACTATTTTACTTTTGGTTCATCTTGTAACTTTCTGTTAAGCATGAAACATAATTTATATTTGCATAAAACTTATATGTGCAATTTAACAGTATAGAGTGAACACTCATCGAATTAGAAACCATGTCAAGAAACAGAACATAAATGGCTCTGCAAAAATCCCTGCCTGGTAACAACTTCCTCATGCTTAAGAGTTCATCACTCTCCTGATATTTACCTCCTTGATTTTCTTTGTAGTTTTACCACCTATATATTAATTCCTAAAAATGTAATTGAGTTTTGCTTGTTTCTGACATTTACATAAATGTAACCATACATGCATATTTATACTTTTTGTTTAATATTATGTTTGCAATCATTGTATAAGATTTCATATAGCTGTATAATTCTCCCTTAAGAAATACTATTCCTTTATTCTGTTGCTGATGAGCCCAATTTTGGCAAAAATAACCAATATTGCCATAAATATTGTTTTATTCATTCTAGAGAATACAATCATGCCTTTTTATAGGGTATACAGTTGGGAAAATGATTACTTGGTTACAGGTATGTAAAACTTTAACTATTTGATAACATCTTCCTGATTTCATAGTGGTTTTATCAGTTTACATTTTCAGTCAATAAATAAGGGTCTTTAATATTTTACATCTTCCCCATGACTTGCCATTGCCAGATTTGTTAATCTCATTTCATGCTATACATATTACTTACCTCACCTTATACTCTATTTTGCATTCTGTGAAAAGTAATGAGATTGAACACATTTTCAAAGATTTAACAGCTGTTTGAAAGCTCCTATGTATAAAGTCTTTCACCTAAACTGAGTTGCTATGCTTTCCTATTTAGACTTGCAGAAGTTTTTACATTTTCAGGATGCTTATCCTTTCTAGGTTACTTGTATTGTATATCTATTCTGCTACTCTGTGGCCTGTCTCTTCATCCTTTTAATGGTATCATTTATGAACAAAATTCTCAATTTTAATGTAGTCAAGTTTATTAATCATTCTCTTTTGACTGGTGTTTTTTGTGCCTTTGGGACTTATAAGAAAAGTCTTGAAATATGAAGGTGTTCACTGCAAAACTGACCTTCTGGAGTCTAACTACCCCACAGAATTCTATTAGTGCTCAGTAACTCACCTTTATGGCTCTGGTTTGAGAATTCTTCCTCTAAGAACCAAGGCTCTTCTCCTTGCTCCAATTTGAAGATCACCTCTGGTTTGAAAATGCAGTTCCCTGTAAACAGGCAACAACTGAGTACTTAGGCCAGATGATGAGCTTTTTAGTCTCCAGAAGTGGAAAAAGCTTCAGGAACAGCATCCTGAAGGCCCTCAGCTAAATTTATCATTGGCAGTTGGCAACGGCAGTCAAACACTTTCTATTCCTCAGTAGGGCTTGGTCACATAAAAAGCCTAAATGACATTAAAATCTAAAGTATTCATGTGACTGATGCATAAAAAGAAAATGCCTTCTGTATGGAGTTATGAGGGTAAGTTATGCTTATATGCTCACCCACTGAGACTAGGTTGTTGTAGTTCTCTAGCATCACATCTCTGTAGAGGGTTTTCTGAATAGGACCCATTTGCTGCCACTCCTCCTGGGTGAGTTCGACAGTTACGTCCTTGAATGACACTGATGCCTGCAAGAGTACATTTCTGTTTAATCTGGGTTTAGAATTAGATGACATAGGAAATACGCATGAAAACAGTTCTTACGTTTACCGTAAAGAGCTGAAACAAATGAATATAAAGGATGCCTATTTTGGATCTAATTTTAGCTTATACTTTGGAGGTGCTCAATTAGTAAAAATATTAATAACTTAATTTGTATGTATTTATGAGTTATATACTTGTACTCTCAATAAGTATATTAGTAAAACTTTTGTCTTTTATTTTTTAGCAAAAAAAATATAAATACACTTCCTACAATTTTCATCCCACTCTACTACCCTGGGCATGCTCCAGTGAAGCGGTCAGCAAATTATGACCTGTGGCCAAATCCAGCTTGCCACTTTTTAAAATAAAAGTTTTATTGGGACACAGCAACCCCCCTACCCCCAATAATTTTGTATTGTCTATGGTTGCTTTTATGCAAAAACAAGCAGAGCCTAGCAGTTTTATCAGAGACTTTATGACTACCAAAACTGAAAATATTTACTACCTGACACATTACAGAAAAAATTTGCCAACCTCTGGACTAACAAATACAATTAAAGGAAAGACTGACAGCATAAAAATAACAAAGAAAACACAATTTACAGAGGCAGATGTATGAAGATTGAAAGGAAAAGGATGCAAAAAGATATATACATAATCACTAACCAAAAGAAAATTGATATGGTTATATTAACATGAAAAGCAATAGACCTGAATGTAAGAAAGTATGAAATATATATATATATATATATATATATACACACATACACATATATATAATGATAAAATGATTCTTTTAACAGAAGGTGTAACATAAATTGATATGCTTCCAAATACAGCATATCAACACAGCTTCCAAATACAGTCAATTCTCATTATTCAGATTTCTGTATTTGCAAATTCACCTACTCACTAAAATTTACTTTTAACTTCCAAATCAGTACTTGTGATTTTGCATTCATTTGCAGCCATTCACAGAATGATAAAAAATTTGCCCAATACACGTTTTCCCAGCTGAATCTGAACAAGATAATGCCTTGCCTTCTTGTTTCAGCTGTTGTACAGTAATCATATCCTTTTTGTAGTCTATTTAGCACTTTTTTTCATTTTTGTGCTATTTCTTGGTGGTTTCACATTTTAGAATGGCCCCATTGTGTAGTACAGAAGTGCTATCTAGGGACTTCCCTGGTGGCACAGTGGTTAAGAATCTGCCTGCCAATGCAGGGGACACGGGTTCGAGCCCTGGTCCGGGATGATCCCACATGCCATGGAGCAACTAAGCCCATGCGCCACAACTACTGAGCCTGCGCTCTAGAGCCCGTGAGCCACAACTACTAAGCCCGCGTGCTGCAACTAATGAAGCCCACGTGCCTAGAGCTCATCCTCCGCACAAGAGAAGCCACCCCAATGAGAAGCCTGTGCACTGCAATGAAGAGCAGCCCCTGCTTGCCGCAACTAGAGAAAGCCCGCTCACAGCAACAAAGACCCAATGCAGCCAAAAATAAATAAAAATAAATTTATAAAATTCCATATTTAAAAAAAAAAAAGAAAAAGAAGTGCTATCTAGTGTCCCTAAGTGCAAAAAAGTTGTGATATGCCTTATGCAGAAAACAAGAATGTTTAATAGGCTGTGTTCAAGCATTAATTACGGTGCTGTTGGCTGTTAGTTCATGTTCATGAATCAACAATATTACTAAATAAGATGTTCTTAAACAGAAACACACATAACCAGGTTACATATTGATTGGCTAACCAAAACGTTGTGACCAGGAGCTTGCAGGAACCTAATCCTGTATTTCCCCTGGGAGCAATGATTCAGTATTTGCTAATTCAGTGTTCATGGCCACTTTACAGAACATAACTACAGAGAACAATGAGTATTACTGTATATTGTATATATATAAACAATAGTTGAGAGAAATTAGATATACAGACACACAATTATAATTAGTGTTTTTAATACAACTCTCTCAGTAACTCACAGGACAAGCAGACTGAAAAACCAATAGAGATTTAGAACAGGGGTCAGAAAATTATGGGCCAAAGACCAAATCTGGCACACTACCTGTTTTTTTGAAAATAAAATTTTATTAGAACACAGCTCATGTTCATTTGTTTGTGTATTATCTATGGCTGCTATAAGAATAAAACTGTAGAGTTTAGTAGTTCCAAGAGAGACCATATCTCCCACAAAGCCTACTATCTGACATTTACCAAAAAAGTTTGCTGACCACTGATACAGAAGACTGAAATGACATAATTACCCAACTTGACTAACTGAAATATAAAGCATAATCTGATCATAACATAAATTATTTTCTGCTACACTTTGCATATTATAAAACAAAAACAGTAAGTCTCACCAAATTAGAAAAAATTACAATCATACAGTGCGGCTTTAGATTTTAGCTCAAAGATGTAGAAAGCTGAAAAGAGCAATACTAACATCTTACAAGAACAAAGCTTGGTGAACTGAAAATTAATGTATTTTTGAACTCATTAGAAAAATGAAATTGCATGGCAAACAATCTGAAATCAGGAGAGATAGGTACCTGTAGGGAGAATCAGGACCCATTCATTTGCTTACTGAACCATATGCTAAACTCCATATAAGAAGATAGGAAACCTAAGCTATAAAAACCACATGTATGCAAATGTGAAGAGTGTGAAGTCCCTACGGAGATGGTATGTGTCACAGACATAGGGTAATTTCTACCTTCTTTGTGAGATTTTCTCAAGGAAGCCAATCTGTCATAGAGAGGATTGGGGGAGAATTCAGAAGAAGCCCCTTTCTGTCCCATGTGGTGATGGCTAGTGTAGAGGAAGAACAGTCAGTGCTTAAATCCACTCAGACTCATGCATATCTCCACTAAAGAATACTTAATCTGTAAGGGGAAAGTCATCAGAACACATAATGTGATTGGTGGGATCTCACTGCAGTAGGAAGAGAGCAGTAGCAGACACTACCAAAAATGCTGCCTAGACCTATCTGTCCTACCTCTTCTAAGTAATAAAATGCTGAGACCCAAGTTCTCAGTACCTAAGACTGAGGTTCCATTAGAAGGTAAACCCCATTCCCAGAGAACTGGCATTATTTGGCCTGTCCGGTGGTTTCCTAGACCACCCCCTTCACTTGATATGACTCAAAGCTGTAAATAACATTTTCCCTGGGGACAAGACATTACTTTTTTTAAAAAATCATGGGATATTGTTTACCATCATGGCTACTTGACTACTACAGGCAGTTTTTAACAGCTAAGGGAAACAACAGTATTACTAAAAAGCTTAAAGGGAAAAGCTGGAGAATGAGATATCCAGAAGGGGCTTTGAAAAGCTCAGGTATATTCCTGATGATCTAAAAGGTGACACACAATCCCTGGGCTGTGTTCACATTCAGGAAAGACCTGAGAAGGTGCTAAACCCTTGCCTCTCACTAACCTTGAGGCTCTATGAAAAAAAAGTGAAGGCTAATGTGGAGTAATAAAATGCTGGGCTAATTGTTGAAGGCATGCCCCAACATACACACAGAGTAACTTAGCAAATATTGGGAGCCTTATTGGTTACAGGTATTTAAGGAAATCATTGTCCAATTACTAGCTGGCTATTTAATTAATAGAACAGTGACTTCAGTTGGCCACACAGGACAAAGAATACAGATTCTACAGAATTAGTTCAAAAGAGTCACTAGACAAATACATAACAACAGCTGCAGTTGTTGAGATTCTGCTTACACATTACACATATTTTAAATGTCCAGTTTTCAAAAAAAATTTGAGATGTAAACAGATGAGAAACTATTACTCATATATAGGAAAACAAACAGACACATATGAAACAGTGTAAAATCTGTCTCTGAGTAAGTCCAGACATTGGACTTACTAGACCAAGACTTTTCATCAGCTGTTTTAAATATGTACCAAGTACTAAAGGAAACCACATCAAAAGAACAAAAAAAAGTATGGAAACAATGCCTCATCAAATAAAGAATATCAATAAAGAGACAGAAAGTATACATATATTGAAAAAGCAAACTCAAATTCTGGAGTAGAAAGTACAATAATTGAAGTGAATAAGTCCCTAGAGGGCTCAAGAGCTGAATAGGCAGAAAAACCAGCCAATTTGAATATAAATCTATTGAGATGACCCAACCTGAGAATATACAGTAAAAATAATGAAGGAAAATGAACAAAAAGTCTCAGTGATTTGTGGGTCACAATCAAACATAGCAACATTCACATACCAGAAGTAGGGGAGAAGAGAGGAAAAAGAGCCGAAAAACAAAGAATAAAACTTGAAAGCAGCAAGAGAGAGGTGACTCATTGCCTCCAAAGGGTCTCAAATAAGATTAATAGCTGATTTCTCATTAGAAACCAGGGAAACCATTAGGCAGTTGTATGACATATTTAAAGTACCAAAGGGAAAGACTGTCAACCAAGACTTGAATATTCGGCAAAACCATCCTGCAAAAACGAAGAAGAAATTATGACACTCCTAGGTAAATAAGGATTGGGAAAATGTCATTAGTATACCTGCTGTATAAGAAATATTAATAAGGGAGTCATTCAGGCTATAATGAGAGTACACTAGACAATAACTCAAAAATCCATATGAAGAAATAAAGAAAACTATGTAGGTAAAAGTAACTACACAGGTAAAAATATAAAAGACACTATAAATGTATTTTTTTGTATTTATTTTTCTCCTGTATGATTTCAAGACCACTACATGAGGCAGTAATTAGAAATTGCTACTAGAATACACACATGTATAAAGTTGTTAATTTAGATGACAATAACAGCATAAAGGAGTGAGGAGGGTGTGAAGCTATAGAAGACCAAAGTTTTAGTATACTATTGAAATTAAGTTTGTATTCATCTGAACAATACTGTTATAGTTGTTAATTGTAATCAACAAGGTAACCACTAATAACTGGGAAAAAATGTAGTAAAGGCACAACAAGGTAACTGAAATGGTATACTAGGAA